GCATCATCATCATCATCAGCAGCAACCTCGGCATCAACATCATCATCAGCATAGTCATCATGATCATCAGCAGCATCACCATCATCAGCAGCATCATCATCGTCATCATCATCAGCAGCATCATCAGCATTATCAACAACATCATCAGCATCATCAGCATCATCAGCCTCATCATTAGCATCAGCATCATCATCAGTAGCATCATCATTAGCATCACCATCAGCATCACCATCAGTATCAGAATTATCATCATCATAATCAGCATCATCAGAAGCAGCATCATCTTAAGCATCAGCATCATCATCACCATCATCAGCAGCAACCTCGGCATCAACATCATCATCATCGTCATCATCATCGTCAGCATCGTCATAATCAGCATAATCATCTTCATCATCATCATCATCATCATCATCATCATCATCATCATCATCATCATCATCATAAGTGTCAGCATCATCATCACATCATCATCATCATCATCATCATCATCATCATCATCATCATTGTTATCATCAGCATCATCACCACCATCATCATCAGCATCATCATCACCATCATCATTACCAGAATCGTCATCATCATCATCATAATTATCATCAGAGTCAGCATCATCATCATCATCATCAACGACAACAGCAGCATCAGCATCAGCATCAGCATCATCATCAGCAGCATCGCCATCATCAGCATCATCATCACCACCACCATCATCATCAGTATTACCATCATCTTCATCATCAGCATCATCATCAGCAGCAGCAGCATCCTCATCCTCATCCTCATTCTCGTCCTCATCCTCATCCTCATCCTCACTCACCATCAGCAGAAGCATTATCGCCCTCCCTCCTCCCCTGCAGCCTCCTCGGCCGCGGCGCCAGCCCGCCGGCGCCGCAGCAGCGGCGCGGCCGCGGCAACGGCCTCGAAGACCTCGCTGGTGTTGCAGGCCACCGTCCTCGCCTGAGGGGAAGAAGGGGGAGGCAGAGGGAAGGAGGGAGGAGGCGGGAGGGAGGCGGGAGGAGCGAGGAAGGAGGAGGGAGGAGGGAGGAGGAAGCCCCTGACCCTCCCCCCCTGCCGCTGGCTGGCCGGCAGAGAGAGCGCCGGCAGCCTTCGATCAGCGTCGAAGCCAGGGGCAAGCCTCAAAACGAAGCTGGCCCGGGCTGCGCTGCACCTTGGACGGCCCCCCTGGGCGGCCCCCAAAGAGACAGTGGGGGTGCAATCCCCGCGACCGGCCGAGAGGGAGGGAGGGGGGGACAAAGGAGGAGGGAGGAGAAGGGAGGACGGACGAGGGACGATGGGGAAAAGGACGGAGGAGGGAGGGAGGATGGAGGAGGGGCGAGGGAGGAGGGGTAGAAGGAGGGAGGAGGGAGTAGGAGGAGGAGGAGGAGGAGGAGGAGGAGGAGGAGGGTGGAGGGAGAGGGAGGGAGGAGGAGGAGGGAGGAGGGAGGAGGGAGGAGGGAGGAGGGAGGAGGGAGGAGGAAGAGGAAGAGGAAGAGGACGAGGACGAGGACGAGGACGAGGACGAGGACGAGGACGACGACGACGACGACGACGACGACGACGACGACGACGACGACGACGACTACGACGACGAGGAGGAGGAGGAGGAGGAGGAGGAGGTGGGAGGGCGGAGGAGGCAGAGGAGGAGGACGAGGAGGAGGAGGCGTACGAGGAGGAGGAGGAGAAGGCGGACGAGGAGGAGGAGGAGGAGGAGGAGAAGGAGGAGGAGGACGGGGAAGAGGACGAGAATTTGGGAGGATTTGGTGACGACGAAACCGATATAAATCGCAAGACGAACGGGCGATTCGGCGTTGGCCCCCCGAGCACTACACTTCTCGCACGCGCGGCCGCTGCGCTTTTCGCACGCGAGGGAGAGAAGGAGGAAGGGGAGGTGGAGGAGAAAGAGAAAGAGTTATGGAATTACGGATATTGTGACCGTGTCGGTTTTTAGACAGACATCAAAACGGTTTACGAAGCACACATCGCTTGACCCCGCTTGCGGAGCTCAGCTTCGCTGTGAACCTTGGGCCGTAAACCCTTCCTGATACGATCTACGGCACCCTCTCGGCAGCTTAACTAACGGCTGGGCGGCATAAGACCTGATGGGAGAACAAAATAAAATCTGCAGCCCAGCGTGACGTTGAAGTGCATGGGTACAACGAACACACACACACACACACGAGATGTGAACCTGCTGTCCAGGGAATGGTTCCCAAATGACGCCGCCCACACACCCGGAATCATTACACTGAGAGTTCAACCACTCCCTTCTGGCCGATGGAGCTCGAACAATTTCCATCTCTAACAAGAACCACCGTAAACATCAAGTGCGTGCTGGGAGTGTTTCGCGACGCGGATCTTTGGAGCGGGGGGCTGGCCGAATCGGCCATCCGCTCGGCCTGGAAAACACGAGCACGATCCGGGGCATCCAATCTCACCAAGGCTGCACCTGCTCCAGCGAGTCCGTCGGCGGCGGCGTTTCTCATGACTAGATTCGCAAGGGTTTCTCCTGCCACGATGTCAGCTGATTCCTGGCGCGAGTGCACATTGAAGACCACGATTGGCAACCTAGACGCGCAAGTTTTCAGATCTCGTCCGATGAGCCACCACAAATCCCACTCTGCCCCGAGGATTCCGAGGCGGCCACAGGGCACCACACCGACCAGACTCCTGCATTGTCGGCAACGAAAACAACGCGTTCGAGGCGCCCCCCTCCCCCAAGGAATGATAAGGAGCGCACAACTCGCCCCAATCGAATGTTTGCCCCTGCCCTGGGAAGCCCCCCCAAATCCCGACGTCCATCTGCACCTCGCGCCTCAGCCCACGACGCACTGCGACCCCGACTCCGACCCCCCTCGAAGTCGAGCTCAGACCCACTTCGCCTGCGCGGGCGTCGCCAAACATATAACGTGGACTGCCGCGCGGGCCGCCTCCGAAAATGACGCCAACAAAATTCGCCCACCCTTCATGGTCTTGCGGGGGCGGCACTGCCACCCACGCTGCCGGCATCAAACCTCGGCGGCAGAAACATTATCCTGATTCGCGACCTGCCTGGGTTCCGCCTGAAACGCCATCCGACAGTCTCTGCCCCCCGCCCCCCCCCCAGACACCCCCCAAACTCGGCGAGAAAAACGCGGTGCACTTCGTACGTCAAAGACACAGAAGCGCCAGACTGTGCTTCGCTGGTGCCCGACCCCTCCCCCGCGGCCAGGCCGCCCCCGATGCTGCGGCTAGCAGCCAGCCCGCCCGCCCCCGCGGCAAGCCCGCCAGCCCTCGGCCTCCTGGCGCACCCTCGAGCTGACGAGGCAAACTGCGGCACCATCGGTCGGCCCCCTCCTGCCCCACGCCTGCCCCGAAGTACTGGGGAGCTGCGCGCCATAGTTCGCGATGCACTGCGCGCCGATACTCTTCACCGACGCCATTCAAATTCTTAGCGCGAAATACTCAACGACTGATCATTCCTGAGCCGTCTAACGGGACCTGCCATTCTGATGGGGCGACAGGGACCCATCATGCTCCTAATAACTAAACGACGACTGCACCTGGACGCCCCCCCATAGATCTCCGCCTGCGCTCTGGCGCCATGGACCTGATCCCCCGCGCGAGCCCCCCCCCGAGACTGGCTGGTACCTGAATGAACGCTTGGAACCGCCGTCCACCACGACAACCAAATATGGAAGCACCCCACCGGCATCTCGTAGACACGACGACCCCACATTCAGCGCGCAAGTCAAACAGCGCCGCCAAGCACCCCTGACTAACGCGGCCCAACTGCATCGGCCGCCTTCCCCCGCACCTGCAGCATCTCGTTGTCCGCGCAGCCCGGGCAACCGATGGCCGCGCGCGCCCACCGCCCGCGCCCCCCGCCGGCAGGGCCGGCCGGTTAGGCCGCGCCGCCTGGCCCCCATTGCCATTGAAGAACTGCCCGATGCATCTGACTGTGCTTCTCGGCCCTCGCAGCCCGCGCAACGAAGGCGCGCCTCCCGCCGCCGCCGCGCCAGTCGCCCCCTGGAGGGGCTCGCGCTACAGCATGACACAATATCCCCACATGCGCAACCTCCCGGCGATGACCTTCGCCTCCGCGACGCGCGCGCACGCCGCCACGCTGCCCGGGCAAATCGCCAGTCCTGCCGCCTGAACGCCGGTGCACGCGCCGGCCAGACCCCTCGCCACGCGCGCGGCCATCAGACGCCGAGAATCAAGCATACTGCGATTCAAACAGTCGATCCACAGCCTGCACGACATGCCCACAAGCGCCGTCGCGATGCGCTGCGCGACGCGGCAGGCGACGCACTTGGCGAAACTGGCCCCCGATCGCAGCCCCTGGGCCACCGACCTCGCCGGCCCGCACGCGCCTGCTGGCGCGCGCATATGGCCCCCATGCACCAAAGCAACAAGCGCCCAAAAATAATTGCCCAGTCCCAGCCCGGCCTCACCGAGCGCCACCCACCGCAGCGATGGGGTCGCGGAAACTCGCCAGACCCAGCAGACCATCTGCCATGCCTGGCGCATGTTCAAAAGAACTGCTATATCACCCAACGCGGCCGCCGGCAGCCTGGAAGCGCCCGGGCGCGTCAAACGGCCCACGCCCGCGGCCCTCCGGGACACTGTCAGCGAGAGACGGCAAAGATTTGCCATTCACACGACGTCAGATATAAAAAAAACTCGCCCAATCCACCCAGCGGCTGGTCGCGAGGTGCCCGAAGATCGACCCGACGAGTACACTTCTAAATATATAACTCCCTGGGGCGCACCAGGGCCCCAACACCAACCGCCGGGGCGTCGTCGACGGAAAGCCGCTCACACATCGATCTGCGCGGCGCACTTACTGCTGGGGCTCTGCCCCCTTTGGCCTCAACTTCTCCAGAGACTGGTCGGGGGGCCCTTCGCTGCCGTCGCTGCGCTACCTTGCCTGCTGCCTCAGCCACTCTCGAAAGCTCCCAGCTGCCCGGTGCCACGAAAAACGATCTGCTGTTCTCGCAGGCTGCTACCATTAGACAAAACTGCCGCCTGCTCGGCGCCGCCCCCACCCCCCCGCCCCCGCGGCGGCACCCGGCTGCCGATGCCAGCCTCATCGCCGATCCCACCCACCAGCCTGCCAGCCGATCGCGGAGCACCACATCCCATCTGGGCTGCGCCCCCCGCACCTCTACGATACGAAATTCGGCGAGGTCGCCTCTTGACCTGCCGAGAGGGGCCCGCCCGCGAAGAATGCGCACGGCAGCCTCGAGGGCTCGAAACCAAGCGTTGAACAGGGCTCCGACCAGACGCGACTCGCTCGCGCTGAGCCTGAGAAGGCCACGGAGGAAGCAACCATAAAAAAGGTTGGCATCAGCGGGGCGGAAGCCCACAGCTCCCCTCTGCTCATCCCAAAGCTCTTCGGGCACCATGGAAACTACAGGCTTGCTTTGTGGAGACTCCGGGGACCTCGAACTCTCCGTGGACGGCCCACGGGAGGCCTCTAGCTGGGCATGGCACTCATGGCGGGGTGCACGCTGAACCGATTGAGACTGAATATGAAACAGATTCTGAGACGGATCATCGCACGGAGGGGCCCGCGGAGCGGCGAGTCCGAAGATTGGCTCCTGGACCTGCGGGCCTTCCTCGCTGACGTCGGAATTACTTCGTTCGGCGCAGACGCATGTCTCGGCCTCGCCCCCTAAGCTGCCGGCGGCATGCTGCCCGTACTGCCGACGAGACGCGCTCTCACCAATACGACTACTACATAGCGCGAAATGCTCGAACAACCAATTAACGATTTTCTGACCCCAACGCTCCGAAGCCAGAGACCCCAAAAAAACGCGCTCCCGCTTGGCCCTGCGAGACTTGGAACCCACCACTGGCCGCCGAAAAGGCCCGCGCGCTATGGGGGGGACAGCTCGGGCACCAAGAGCACGCGGGCGAGGAGCTGAAACCCTGACGCAAACACTTCGACAATCTGACCGAAGTGGGGGCCCCAC